TAAGTCTGAAATTGTTTCCAAAAAAGTTAAAAAACAAAAACGAAAAACCTTCTTGGCCTAGCCAACCCCAACTCTTCTGCTGCCTCAGTCCCGACAGCTGGTAGACCTCAGCTAGCCTAAGGGAAGTGCTTGGGGTGAGAGCCCCCAGTGACACAAAAGAGGCGTGCTGGCAAGGAGAGGGTGAGGCCACAAAGCCAGGAGTGAACACTAGATGGCGTTGCCATACCCTGGCGGTAGTCAAAGCAGTAGTGGTCGGTGGTAGGTGAGGGAAGAGGCCAAGGGCTGAGTGCTGAGCCCCGACCCCTGACTCCCAAAATCCCCTTTAATGTGTATCCTCATCCTACCTGGGCTGCGCCCTCTTCAAAACCTTTGATGACTTCCTGTTTGCCGATTCGGAACTTGAAAGGTTTGTTTCTGTCTCTGGATGAATCGAATTTCTTCCCATTTTGGAGCATTCCTGGCAAAGCAAGAATAGGTGGCAAAAGAGCTGTGGTCATAAGTTACCCCCAATTCAGATTGAACGGTCTGAAATGGAATTCCTACTGCACACACCTACTTCTCTTTCAATCCTCCCATCTGTCCTACTGTCCAAGCAAGAAACCTGGATACCCCCACATACAGCCTGTCACCAAGTCCTGCATGTCTTTGGAATCTACCTGTGTTCTCCATTTCTATTACCACCACCCTGTGGACAGGAACAAGCTCCTAATGGTCTTTTTGTTCCTCTTTTGCCCCTCCACTCCATTCTCCACTCTACACCCAGACTGATTCTTTTGTCTTTAAATATAAATCTGATCTTATTACTCCCCTGCTTCAAATACTTCAATAGCTCCCCAGGGAAGAATCTAAATGCCTACCGTGCATACAGACCCTTCCCGATCTCGCTACTGCCTGCCTTACAACCCTCTCTCTGCTCTCCCCTTCCTCCCCTTCCCTGTGTGCTATTTAGGTCATGCCTTTCCCAAATTCCTCTGCACTTTACAACTTCTTTGTGTCACTTCTTCAGCCTAAAGGTCTATTTTCCCAGGTATTCCAGCCTCAGGTTGAGTCCTAAGGTTCCTAAGGTTCTTTAAGGTTCCCCAAAATGCAAACCCAAAGGTCACATCACCCCTACTGCAGTAAACAGTTTAAGGTGTTTAAGGTGACTTAGCTGGTCAGTGGTGGCCTTTAGACTCCACAGACATAGGGCTGTTTGAAACCAGAACACTCCAGGTGCTGTCTC